TCTCCAGGGTCACCTCAGCTCCACAACTTTCTGTAAGATTTGCCGGGCACTCTATTGTGACTGGATTGTAGTTCAATTTGCCCCTTCCTTCAACTCCCACCACCACCCCCACCACCCCCCACTGTCTTTGATTCCAATAGCATTTTCCAGTGTTAAACAAAAATTATGGGAGACCTTTTCTAAACTAAGTTCCTGCTCGAGGCCCCAACAGACCATATCAAACCAAAATGCCACATAATCAAATTGAAACTTTCAGGAAGGAGATAGATCCAAGAACAGACTAGTTTTTCCTGAAAACAGAAGATTCCAGTCTGCCCACATCAGAATACTGAGGAAGTTCTCTCTCCAAAAAAGTAATATGAAGTAAAATGATGGTAATTGTTTTAGTCAGCTTTTTTACTGCTGAGACTGAAAGACCTAATCAGAACAAATGTAAAAAAAGGAAAGATATATTCAAAGGTTTTAGTCCATAGAAGGCCGGCTCCACTCCTGGTGAAGCAAAACATCATGGTGGAAGAGTGTGGCAGAGGAAAGCAAATCACATGATAATCAGTAAGCAGAGAGAGAGGGATCTCCACTCCCCAGATACAAATATATGCCCCAAAGTCATGCCCCCAATTCCCACTTCCTCCAGCCACACCCCACCTGCCCTCAGTTACCACTTAATTAATCTCTATCAGGGGATTAATTCACTGATTGGGATAAGACCCAATCATTTCTCCTTTGAACCTTCTTGCATTGTTTCACACATGAGCTTTTGGGGGACACCTCAAATCTAAACCATAACAATAACCAATTGTTTTTTCCATCATGCTACTTCCTTGGTTTCATCTTTACAACCCGATTTTCTGCCATTGCCCAGGGGAGTTCTCCTTCTTTTTTATAAAACAAAAGCTGCCCTGTTTCTCACATCATAAATAAAATCCAACTAGATCTATAGCTAAACTTTTTATAATTTTTGTCTTCTGACACTAGTAAACTTGCACACCAATCTCGAGTTTGAAGTCTGTTCCCCAGGGGAAATGACCTGTAAGGAAAAATAGTAACAAAAATGTCTACTTTTTGGAGTTAGATATTTGAAACAGAGAAACAGAGACAAGGTACAGAAATGTAGGTGATGGCATACTACTTGTGATTGCCATCTAAAATGGGGACTGGGAGCCAGGCGGGATGGCACATACCTGGAATCCCAGAGACTCTGAAGAAGGAAAATTGCAAGTTCAAGGCCAGCCTTAGCAATCTATCCAGGCCCTAAGCAACTTTCTCAAATTTCTTAAGAAAATAAAAAGGATTAGAGATGTGACTCAGTGAAAAAGCGTCCCTGGGTTCAATACCCAGTACCAAAAAATAATAATAATAATAATAAAATGGGAGCAGAGAAATCTCATGCAACTGAGTCCTCAACCTCAACAATCTGTGCTATCTCCAGGTAGACAGCAGAAATTGGGATTCAGTCCGTGTTCCGCAGAATTAAAGAATTAACACCACAGAACAACAGGTAAGAAAGAGACAGGAGTTTTATTAAAAGGAGAGTGGAAGAGAGAAGCTTTGGACTCTCAGCGTGGTACATGGGAGGGGCAAGATTGCCACCTTGGTCTCTCCTTTAAAGTCACTTGAGGGGAAGTCAAATGACCTCTTGTAACCCATCCTTGAGATTTTAATAGGCTCAGGCTGAGTTGCATAATTGTTTTTTGTGCAAATGGAATCTTATATCCCTTTTGGGAAATAAACGTTGCTTGACACACTGGAGCATTCCTCAAAAGGCGGAGCATACCTCAAATTGTGATCCGGAGAGCCATCCTCCTTATCAACCCCTCACCATCCTTTCCTGCTCTGACTGCCTATTTCCCCTACCTCAGTAGTATCAGAATTGGGTTCAGTGTCTGTAGTGTTATGTTGAGTGACTATGTGAGACAGAAGAGAGAGAAAAAACGTTTTTTTTCTTCCCAAAATGGAAAAAAAAATTCAGTCGTTATAATTTAATTCATTGAAAGAAAAAGGGTAGAAATTACACGACTACCCAAGTCATTTTTAAAAATGTGTTTTATAAAATTCAACATCCATTCATTATTTTTAAGAACAACTACTAACAAACATAGAATAAAATGAAACATCTCCAACCAGACAAGCAGTATTTACAAACACCTACAGCAAACATCTACATACTGATAAAATCTTGAAAAGCTTCCCTTTAAAATCATGAACACCAAAATGACTGATATATCCCATTTTATCAGCATTGTACCAGAGCTCCAAGGAAATGAAGTTAGGCAAGGAAAGGATAAACACTATGAAATTAAGGAGGGAAAAAACTGACTCTATTCTTAAATGAGTGTATACGTAAAATCTAGAATTCCAATAGACAAACTATTGAAATTAATAATAAAGCTTAAGTTGGGTGTGGTGGCGCACAACTGTAATCACAGCTAATTGCAAGACTGAGGCAGAAGGATCACAAGTTCGAGGCCAGCCTGGATAACTTAGGGAGCTCCTGTCTCAAAATAAAAAATAAAAAGGACTGGCGATATAGTCCAGTGGTAGAGCATTTGTCTACCATGCATGAGGCCAGCCCTGGGTTCTATCCTCAGTGAAAAAAGGAGGAGGACAGAAGGAAGAGGAAAGAAAGAGGAAGGCAAAGAGAAAGTAGAAGGAGAAAGTTTGGCAAGGTTGCTGGGTATAAAATCAATATACAAAAATCAATTTTATTTCTATATACCAACAGTTAAAGAATAAAATTTTAAAGAATTACCAATTACTTAATCATCACAATTTTAAACTACATGAATGCCCACAGTGAAAGATACATAAACCTTCTATGACCCCCCATTGAGATATACAAAATAATGAGATACATATTACATTACTGTCTGGGAAGAGTTAACATTGTAAAGATGCAAATTATCCCCAAACTGAGCTACAGATTCAAAGCAATCACAGTTAAAATTTCAACATCTTTTTAATGCAACGTGACCATGTATTTATAAAATTAAATGGAAATACGTTAAGCCAAGAATAGCCTAGAATACCATCAAAGAACTAGGTAAGATTTCTTGTTCTACCAGATATCAAGACTTAATATGAAACAATCTTAATTAATATATTGTTATTAATGCAAATATATAAATTAATAATAGACCAATGGAACATAACAGAATAACCAGAAACATACCTACACATTTATAGACCTAGATTTATGATTAAAGTAACATTGAAGACCAACAGGGAAAGAACAGATTTTTCAATAAATTGTTCTAGGCAATATAATAATCATACAGGGAAAATAAAGAAATATGAGCTCTTCATTACAATATAAACACAGATCAATTGCAAATAGATTCATGGCTAAAAGTAAAAAGTAAAGTAAAATATTTAGGTGAAAATAAAGAAAGGGCCGGGGTTGTGGCGCAGTGGTAGAGCACATGCCTAGCATGCATGAGGCATTGGGTTTGATCCCCGGCACCACATAAAAATAAACAAATAAAATAAAGGTATTATGTCCATCTACAACTAAAAAGATATTTTAAAAAAAGAAAGAAAATAAAGAGATCTATGACTTCAGAGTAAGCAAAACTCTGAATACGTGACCATATATTTATAAAATTAAGTGGAAAACACTTTTCCAATGCCAACTTCTAATGCCATCAAAAAATATATCATGATAAGTCTACTCACATTGAAATATGAACTTTGGTTCAACAAAAGATACTATAAAAAGTCACAAAATAAACAGAGATATGTGTAACTAATATAAAGACTTAAAATTTATATTTAGAATATATATGGAACTCATAAACAAAAGACAGAAAGTTGGGCAGAGGTTGTAGCTCAGTGATAGAGCACTTGCCTACCATGTGTGAGGCATTGGGTTCAATACTCAGCACCACATAAAAATAAATAAATAAAATAAACATATTGTGTCCATCTACAACTAAAAAAAAAAAATTAAGAATACAGAAACCTCCACAAAAAAAATGAATGAAAAGCTTGAGCTAGCACTTCACAAAACGGAAATCCAAGTAGCCAATAAAAATATCAAGGTGGATTCAACTTCATTAGTAATCAGATAAATTTAAATTAACATCTCCATGTGCTACTACTATGCATCTACCAGATTAGCCAAAAAACTAAAAATCTGACAAAACTAATATAATAAGGACTATTATGTCTTCTGGAAGGAGAAAAATTTGTGCAACTACATTGGAAAACATGTTGGCATTACCTAGTAAATAAGAAAATATGAAAGTTGTGGGATGGGGATGTGGCTCAAGCAGTAGCGCGCTCGCCTGGCATGCGTACGGCCCGGGGTTCGATCCTCAGCACCACATACAAACAAAAATGTTGTGTCCACCAAAAACTAAAAAATAAATATTAAAAAAAAATTTCTCTCTCTCTCTCTCTCTCTCTCTCTCTCTCTCTCTCAAAATAAAATAAAATAAAAAGAAAGTTGTAGGACCTAGAAGTTTCACTCCTACATTTGCAAACTAAAGAAATTCATGCACATGTCCCAGGATACTTATCGAATAAACATAGACCAGTAGAGTAAATAGGAATTTGGAGGATTGAAAAGAGAGAAGTGAAGGTAAAGGGGAGATAATGAGCAGTGAAATTGTTCAAACAATATTATGCCTACGTACAAATGTTTCACAATGAATCCCACTGTTTTATAATTATAATGCATCAATAAAAAAGAAAAAAACTTTTCATGCCTATGATGTTGGTAATCCCCCAAAATATTAATGACCCAATGTGTATTAAGAGTGTAATGGATATCAGGGCATAGTCGTACATGCCTGTAATCCCAGCGACTCAGGAGGTTGAGGCAGGTACAATTCAAAGCTTAGCCTCAGCTACTTAGCAAGACCCTCAGCAACTTGGTGAGACCCTGTCTCAAAATAAAAAATAAAAAAGGACTGGGGACTTAACTCAGTGGTAAAGTACTATAGGTTCAATACTCAGTACCAAAAAAAAAAAAAGAGGGAAAAAGGAAGTATAATGGGCAGATCTTTTTGTGGTTCATAAGGGTGGTGACTGGGTTTTCACAACACTGTATGAGATGTGCCTCCATCAAATCTTGTTACATCAGCACATCACCCATCTGTTGTAAAGTAATATTCATAAAAAAATTTTTAAAGAGTTAAATCAAGCCAGTCATGGTGACATATAACTGTAATCCCAGCAGCTCAGGAGGCTGAGACAAGGATCTCATGTTCAAAGCCAGCCTCAGCAACAGCGAGGCACTAAGCAACTCAATGAGACCCTGTTTCTAAATAAAACACAAAATAGGGCTAGGGATGTGGCTCAGTCATCAAGTGCCCCTGAGTTCAATCCACAGTATCCACCCCCACCAAAAATCAATAAATTGTGGTACAAGTCTCACTATAGAATACAGCACCAAAAATGAAAAAGCTGTGAAGATTCAGGTCATAAATAATTTTGAACAAAATAACTCAATTCAAAAAAGAAGGCACACAGAGAGACTCAATTTTGGATAGAAAGCAAGGAAGACAAGTTATATTTGCATGCATGCATAGCTAAGTTGTAAATTGTAAAGATATGTAAGGAAGGGCTGGGGATGTGGCTCAAGCGGTAGCACGCTGGCCTGGCATGCATGCGGCCCGGGTTCGATCCTCAGCACCACATACAAACAAAGATGTTGTGTCCGTGGAAAACTAAAAAATAAATATTAAGAAGTTCTCTCTCTCTCTCTCTCTCTCTCTCTCTCTCTCAAAAAAAATAAATTTAGGGGGGAGGGTGGAGGATGGGAAAGGCAGCGGAGCACAACAGACACTAGTATGGCAATATGTAAATCAATGGATGTGTAACTGATGTGATTCTGCAATCTGTGTATGGGGTGAAGGTGGGAGTTCATAACCCACTTGAATCAAAGTGTGGAATATGATATGTCAAGAAATTTGTAATGTTTTGAACAACCCAAAATAAAAAATTAAAAATAAAAATAAAAAATAAAAAAAAAGTTGAAACCTAAAAAAAAAGAAATAAGTGTGGGAATTGTGCTCTATATGTGTAATATGAATTGAAATGCATTTTGCTGTCATGTATAACAAATTAGAATAAATAAATAAATTTAAAATTTAAAAAAAAAATAAAAAATAAATTTAAAAAAAAAACAATATTTGTAAAAAAAAAAAAAAAAGATATGTAAGGAAGATAATTACCATATAAGTGAGGATAGTGATTATATCTGGGAATGAAGAGGGATGCAGTCAGGAAGGGGCCTTCTGGCAGTCTAGTTGCATTCTATTTATTGGTCTGAGTACTTGTTAAATAGATGTTCAGTTTATAACATTTGATTAAAAATCACACTAACATTTTATGCTCAATTCTATATTTGTATTGTATTTCACATTCATTCATATATTGTCCCTTCTTTAAAGTCAGTTTTTAGAGACTTAATGTGTTCCTTTAAATATGCTGTTTCACTGTTTCTTTGTATATTATTGTTTATTGTTGAGACTAGCATTTGAAAACCAATTACTGTTCCTAGTTTTTGATGTCTGCTTTTATACAGGAGGACTTTCTCCATGCAGCCCCATTAGAGAATCTCGATCCCCTTCAAGCCTTTTCTGAGGATTCATGTTTTCTGAGTTCATATATGATATCTCCTAATTGGAGAGATTGGCTTGTTTTTACTTAGGAGATCTTCTTTGTATGTGTCTGTGATACTGGAGCTTCTTGGTGGTATAGAAAATTGTTGTACTGGTGCTGGGGTTACAGCTCAGTGATAGAGCACTTGCCTGGCATGTGTAAGGCCCTGGGCTCAATCCCCAATGCCCACAAAAGAGAGAGGAAAGTTGCTGTACTGGAGTTCCACCTAGTGTCAGTCTATGATGACTGCAAGACTGGTGCTGGACCAAACCACATTGATTGCCTTTGTTCTTAATCATCCACAATCGAAGCCCTGTTCCTGTCAATGCTGAGTTTAGGCAATACAGAAACCAAGCCCACAGCAGCACCCCAAAAATTCAGAATGTTGGAAGTACATTTCATTCCTTTCGCCTTCCAGGAAAAAGTGAGGAGCTAGTCGTTTTCTCCTGATCCTGCTGTGCCACATTAGTTAAAAAGACTCTGGTAAGTGAATGCTGGAAATTTTCTTACTAGACTTTGATGGTTTGGTTTCGAGATAACATTTGGTACACGAACCTCTTAACTGGTTTCTGGATTTTTCACAATGGTAATTGGTTTACGTAGTATTAAATCCATGTTTTTGGGGAGGAAAGAAGGCCCAGCGTTTCCTCTTCTGCCACTTGCTGTTGTCCTTTGTTGCTCTATTTTGCCCTAGTGAATGGTCACATTCATCTACTTCTTTGTATTTGTTTTATTTAATGGTGGGTATGATAGATGTTCTGTTGTTGAGTGTCTGGATTTTGTTAACTTCCTTTAAAGAGTTTTGGCTTTGTATTTATAGACAGTTAATATACTTGAGGTTTCAGTTGAATCTTTATATCTAAGCTTTGTTAGGACAGATTCAGATCATCCTTTATTCTTAGGATAATTAATCGCTATTCCTGAGGTGTGGCCTTTCTGAGGTACTTACTGAATGCTTCAGATTTTCCATGAGATTTCTTGACTGTAGTTTGTTGGAATTCAAGTCTCTCCTACTCTCTACGAATTCCAGTAGTTTCCTAACTTACAGCTCCTAGTAATATTCAAAGTTTCATAGGAATTCCTCCTTATTCAGGTTCTAGAACTCCTTCTCTGCATAACTCGCTTTTCCTCTGCCCTACAAACTCAAGCCGTCTCTGCCTTCACAAACTGATTGCTCTCTTCAGTTCAGCAAAACAATCATGCTCTGTCCCTCCTAGAACCAAGATCTAGAAAGCATGTCAAGGCAGAAAACTGACATGATAGTAGAGTTCATCTCAATAGCTTCCCTTTTCTAAGGGATTACAATTCTGTTGCGTTTTTCAATAGCTAAAAACAGATATTTTATATATTTGGTCTATTTTTGTAGTTGTTCTCAGCAGGAGGGCTGGTCATCGAAGGAAGTTGAAGACCTTTTCCCTGATTTTCAACTTTCTAAAACCTTGACTACCCTCTAAAGTCTAGAACATATCTCACTCTCTCCATTAAAATTTTTACTCCCTTCTTTGTAATTTCAATAAACTATGTAGCTCTTTTGTTATAGTTATTACATATTCGATACTGTACCATAGTTAATCTCCAGAGAGATCCCACATCTTACACATCAATAATGCCTAATATTGATGTTTATTTGTTGAACGAATAGGATACCCCCAAAAGATAATGTCTTCTTATGAGTGAACATAGATTAAAACAGAATAAATTACCTCCTAGCTTAGTGGAAGGTTAGAATATATATGGTTTAGGGTCCTTCTCAACTCAAGGCTTCAGTGGAAAAAAAAAATGGCAAATTGTGCTACATTTACATAATGAATATTCTATGATGATTTTAAATAGATATATAAAGTTTATAACAAAATATTAGGTAAAATATTGGGATTCAAATTGTATACATGACAATTAAACCTATGTGAAAAAAAATGTACAGCCTTTCGGTCTGGTGGCAGCCATCGAGTAAGCCAAGACCAGGGCATACAAGTACATCTAGGAACTATGGAGGAAGGAGCAGTCAGATGTAATGCGCTTTCTTCTGAGGGTCTGCTGCTGGCAGTACCACAAGCTCTCTGCGCCCCACAGGGCTCCCTACCCCACTCGGCCAGATAAAGCGTGCAGACTGGGATACAGGTCAAGCAAGGTTATATCATATACAGGATTCCTGTGCGCCCTGGTGGCCGCAAACACACAGTTCCTAAGGGTGCCACTTTATGGCAAGCCTGTCCATCATGGTGTTAACCAGCTAAAGTTTTCTTGAAGCCTTCAGTCTGTTGCTGAGGAGGGAGCCAAACACCAGTGTGGGGCTCTGAGAGTCCTGAATTCTTATTGGGTTGGTGAAGATTCCACATACAAATTTTTTGAGGTTATCCTCATTGATCCACTCCATAAAGCTATCAGAAGAAATCCTGACATGCAATGGATCACCACACTAGCCCACAAGCACAGGGAGATGCCCAGCCTAACATCTGCAGGCCATAAGAGTCATGGCCTTGGAAAGGGCCACAAGTTCCACCACACTATTGGTAGTTCTTGCCATGAAGCTCTGAGAAGGCACGATACTCTCCAGCTCCACCATTACCGCTAATAGAATTATGATGTTTGTAAAGTTCATACCTAATAAGCAATTGGGGACAAAAAAAATAAAAAAATGTGCATATGAAATACTGGAAGAAAATATATTTTAAAATAATAAAGTCATCTTAATTCATATGTGCTGTTGACATGTGGCTTTTTTACCAAGACTAGTCTTAAAAATCAGTTGGTCTTACTATCTAATGATTTTCATGAAGGATGGTTTAGGATGATCAGTTATTCCAAAAAAAACTTTATTTTTATTTAATATCCTCCAACACTTTATTGATTTTAGTTAACAGCCTTATTAAGAGTATTAGTTCATGTCCTTACCTGCAATCTCATTTTGCAACTTCAGGGCTCACCAGGAAGTTTTAATGCTCATAGTGGGGTATTATAAGGGTGCTGTATTGAGACCTTGTTAATGACTGAGGCCATTGTTTGATAACATCTACTTTATATTTTTTCCAGGATGAAACCTTGACAATCAATAGGAGCCAAGTTAGGGCACATTTTATGTAAGTGTGCATATCTGTGTCTGTTCTGCAATACCTGCAATCAGGAGGTGGCAAGTATAGATTTTATGCACCAAATTGATCATATTTTCAGGTCAAATCATAGTTTTCTTCTTTTTCTTAAGATCTTCTATGTACCCTTCTCTTATTCAAAGGCAAAACTGAAATCTGAAATGTCAGGTTTGAATTCTATTTTCACCACTTACTAACTTTGTGACCCTGGACAGTGTATTTCTTTCTGTGCCATAGTTATCTGATATACATAAATCATAGAAAATAATAACAGGGTTGGGGTGGTGGCTCAGTTGTAGAGTGCTTGCCTAGCATGTGCGAGGCACTGGGTTTGATTGTCAGCACCACATATAAAAAGCCACATGTCAACAGCACATATGAATTAAGATGATTTTATTATTTTAAA